TACTCTTCCTCTACAATCTGTCGAAGTATCAGAAAGTAGCATCAGATCTCTAGACAGGAAATCTCGATAATTTGGTGTGGCGAAATCAATTTCTGAGCTGGAAATGATTACTTGTACTCGATGGAGGCCAGTTTTGCCACTCCTAATTACCAAGATTATTCGGACTGAAGAGTCGATGCTAACAGTATTAAAGGAATGCAATGATATGCGAAACGTTGTTTCAAAACCCTTATACTGAGAAATTTTATCAAGAATGCCAGGAAGTCAGTGTGGGGAGCCTTGATTCCATAAACTGCAAAATTCCTTGGTTTCCTAAACTGCAGAAGTTCTGAAATTGAAAAAATCATTTAAATTTAAGCTAAAATTACAAACCATATATCCCTGCAAAAAAAGCGGCGATTTCAACGGCAAGCGAAGATTTGGCATGCATTCATTGAGCAGGCTGTGGACGCCATAGATACTAGTAATGAAGTGTATGCCGAGAATATCAGGAATTTTTGGGATATGTATATAAAAAGTACAAAAAAACTCTAAAAAAGAATCGGATGAACAGGAATGTTTTTGCCTATTAAAGTCATATGCGTTCCTATCCAGCGTCACAGCTCTCGATATTCTACCAAAATAAATCACTTTTTACTTAATATTCAAAATAATTAAGTCAGAACTAGTCCTATAGGGGGAGAAGTGCATTTTGCACTCGACACGCAGTTGCATTTCAGTCACGTAAGATTTGAGGCTGAAGTCAGTAATGCGTAATTTTGAGGTTGAAGTCACATCAGTACGTAATTCTTTTGTGGCGTGGATTCCAGATGGGACATTTATGAATTTGCAGTATCAAATGGTCAAATTTGTTGCTTCATGTGTTACTGCCCACCAACATCGGCAGCGACAACTCGAACTGGAGGAGGAGGAGGGACTTCTGTTTATGTCGTGATACCAACACTTGGACTTGGTGGATTATCGGGACTTGGCGGCCTTGGGCTCGGCGGTCTTGGTCTCGGCGGTCTTGGGCTCGGCGGCCTTGGCGCCTTATCTACTCTTGGCGGCCTCGGAGGTCTCGGCGGACTCAGTGGACTTGGCGGCCTCGGTGGCCTCGGTGCCAGCTGTAAGTATATTTCGTAGTTTTTGAAGATTAGAAGTGCGGTTTTGAGGCATCAATGCACAAGAAACTTATAGGAAATACTCTAAGAATTTGATTAGCTGTTATTCCATCACCAGGTTCCACCATATCACTGAAGAAGCTAGCAGCTTCTCCACTCTTCCCTGTTTTGGGCTTCTCTTATCCAAATTATTCTAAATCGGCGAAAGTCAAAATTCTTATAGCATTCCTTCTCTTTGAAAGGCGATTGGCGAATGGTGCTCCACCAGCGATGAACGTCAGCAGCAGCTCGCTGGCAACGTGACGGCTCGATCTTTTGAGAGCTGCTTATCCTCATGCTGACGGCTGGTTTGACTCTCTGTCATATGCCAGTATCAACTTACCATCCAAACGGATAAAAGAATCATACAAGACCATCAAATTCTTTAAATTGAAGAGGATCCTTTCTGGATTTTTAGAGGCTCTTTAAAAAATTGAAATAAAAACGCATGATAGTGAAAAAAAGCAAACGTAGTGGTTAACAGGCAAAGCAAGAAGGACTAGTGATACATTGTACTGCTCCCATACTGCTGCGCAGTGATTCATGAAGAGGTTTTTAAATCAGGCCAAAGAACAAAGCTGCAAATTCTGAATAAGGAACTTTCCAAAAATTTGTAACTGATTCTTTAAAATTATCTGACAGACGCACATCCATAATTTTTGGATAAGAGCTTCAGCGATGTTTTCGACGCTGCTAGAATGTTTATTAAATTCATGTTTGTAATTTGATCAGTTCCAATTTTTGGCACTTTTCCTCTCAACTCTGCATCTGGCAATTTTTTCAGTTGTTCTAAAGCGGTCAGCTGCCAGCGATTCTGACGATCGTTTTGTCTGCTCAGATTTGGGTTATTAAACCGCAATACAACAAAACTTTGTTCTGAGCATGCCATCGTTTTCTTTAAACGAGTTTCTGTTCCCTAAAAAATGTTTTTTTTAGATGGTCCAGCAGTGAATGGCTTATGTCCAATTGGTGTTGCAATTGGCGATCGGTGCTATGCAATAGGATAGCTCAAGAGAAAATGAAACTCTCACGGAAACTCAAACATTGCCTCGAAACTGTTTATAAAATAGTGGCATGCTCAAAAGCAAGGATGGGGAGCACTATAGTGATCCGTGTTAAAACAGGAGCGAAAAACTGAGCCTGCTAGAAACAAAAAATTTAACAAAAAGAGTAAAATACATTTGAAAAAGCGCATCAGAAAGATACCGCATTGGTCAAAACTTAATAATTAGGACCGGAATCATTAGAATTAAAATTTGAGGTAAAAAGTAAAAATCAGAAACTTGAAAATTAGACAAATTGAGATAAAAAACGAAAATTTTGCCCGAAAAGCATCTGAGTTGATATGTTTCTTAGAACAAGTAGACTATTAAAAGGAGTTGATAAAAATGGTGTAATTTTAGCGAAATTTACTTTGGTACTTGTTCATTCGCAGTCCACAGAGAAGTTATGCACCAAATTTTTTCAGTTACTTTGATTGACGCTCTATTGCCCAGTGGTCATTCTACTGGTGGTCATGACGTTTGCTTTGTCTTTGAGGGCTATTTAGGTTGTCTTCTAATTTGAGTATCAGATTTTCTGTTTATTTTTCCGCTCAGCAAAATTATACCAAAGCTGCGCAGTGCTGAAAAACAGATTTAGCTATGCGTACTGAACGTGGCTGCGCCTGATTTTCAGGTTCCGCTTTGAGTTTTTAACAGCTTTTGTTATTACTTACGCTCCCCATCTCCTTGTGTATTAGCTTTCTTTCTCAGGGACACAGGCGCCAGAAACAAATACGTATATACTTCCTGCCTTACCAAACAATAAATTGATTGTCTTGAAATTTTTTTTTTGAACTGAATTTGAATGATGTAAAACATTACGATTAATTGAGCAGCATTATGAATTTGTATTGATCAGTCGTACGACACTGCCACGATGTTCTAAAGAAAATAAAGTTTTCTTTTGTGTTTATTGCGAAAGAGAAAATAACTTTTTTTCCATCGGTTGTTGTGTCACTGCAGCGTTTTATCTTATCGCTGATGCTGTTGGCAACTTCTCCATTCTTCTCCATTTTGGGTTTTCCTCGTAATTTCGTAAGCCTTCGAATGGATCTCTCCATCGTGCTGGAGACTCTCTTTGCACTCGATTAACAAAATGTGCGCAGAAATAAAAATAAATTAAATCATTATTTTTGTATCCATTGCTAAAAAGTAAAATTTTGAATAACGATTTTTCGAAAAGAATATCTAGATTATCACTTTTTTAGTCCTTAAATCAAGCGGACAAGGGCAGGATATTTGTATTAGAGGAATCTACAGCACTTTGTTTTCGATACGTTGGTTTAGTGCATGAATTCTAGCA